AGCCCTCGTGTAGCTTTGCGCGAAGTTCAAAACAAACAAACTTCAACTACGAGAAAATGTAGGGACGGTTTCGGCTCAAGCTGAAGATTGGAACGTATGCACACACTGCGATAGAAAGCATGCACCTATGAGTAACGGCCAAGAGGGAAGTATCTTGGCCTCTTGGTTATCTTCTAAGCAAGCAGTAGTTCAAAGCTTTTCCTACAAGATAGGGGGGAGGACATCTGTGTTCGATGTTTCTAAGAGTGTGAGCCTGATAATATGTTTGTATGAAGTGTTAGAAACACTGGATTAGCCAAGAAAGACTGATCTATAATCTGAAAGGTCTAATGAAGTTTCTCTCTCAGCACTATTTACATTTACGAAGAAAAGTTTTACGTTTATTTCAAACTAGAAGTTATTAACTGCTTCTATTATCCAGCATGTTCATTGGGCCCTAGGTTGCAGAAAGAGGTTTCAGTTTTAAATAACTTGTTAAAATACTGGTCTTCAGGGTGTATTACAGATTTTGCAACTAGAGGAGTGGTTAACTCATATTTTGAGCAATTAGAGGCTCTTAATTTATTTTTAACTTTAAATGCTTGATTGTTGTTGTTTTTAACACAACGCTTTGTCCTAAGATTTTAAAAACTTAGTTATAAGGTTTCTCATTATCAATTTTTTGATACAATTAACCTAACTGTATTGATGTTCGAGTCTTAAGATTTAACAAAACATTTTAAACAAAGAACCTAACATTAATAAACGCAAAATAAAATAAGCTATCATAATTGAAGAAAACAGCTCCACCCTAAATCAACACTCTGGAGATACCAAGATACCTATATTAGACTGTGAACAGTGTGAAGCAATATCCGGTCATGTGATCTCTTTGCTCTATAGTGTATCTCTTGAAACCACTTGTACCTGAGGATGACAAAATGTTGTCGAAACGTCGTATATTTTTAATAAAGTTTTTTCATTACCCAGTCAATCCGTCTCAAAACTTATTTTCAATTTACTATTTTTAGGACAAAATTATTTTTGATTGTCTGTTTTTGTTTGGCTTCTGTAGTTTTCAGAGGATATAAATATATTCATTCTTTTTAAGCATTAAGTGTTAGAGCTACTCAGAAGTTAGACACGAAGGCATTAACATTTATCAATCCAACATGTATTAACTTTTCTAGCACACCTGGTTTATATCTCATTTATTACTATCCAGTACTATTTATTACTACCTGTTCCACTACATAATGGTTCATCCCGTAATTAAAACAATAATAAATGCGTTTCATACTGAGAGATTCAGTAACTCAACAATAATATAGTACTAGAAAACCTAATAACGAGATTTACTGACTGTTTTGTAATAAAATACACATTAGTGGAAAATCTAGAACACGTGTCGTTAAGATATTTAATACTCTAAATATTGTTTGTTTGAGAGCTATCTGCTGTGTCCACTGCGGGGAATCGAACACCAGATTTTAGAATTGTAAGTCCACAGACTTATAGCTGTTCCATCGGGGGAGGGGGGGGGGCTTCTAAATATTTGTTAAAATATTGATCTTAAACAGTTTACAGTTAACTTTACACTGAAAAATCTAATACATCAAAACTTTGTTTGGACAATACCTTAAACTTAATATTACTTTTACGAAGGAAGATTCAAACCTAATTCATTCCTTTATAATTTTATAAAGTTTAATCCTAGATCATAGTAACAACACTTCATTGTTTAATGACGGATTGAAACTAATTCTTCTCGTACAGTGCAAGTGTTTCGTTTTAAACAAAGATTAAAACTAATCTTACTTGTACAGTATAAGTATTTCATTGTCCAAACAAAGATTAAAACTAATTTTACTTATAGAGTACAAGTGTTTCGTTTAAAACAATGATTAAAACTAATTTTACTTGTACAGTATAAGTATTTCATTGTCTAAACAAAGATTAAAACTAATTTTACTTATAGAGTACAAGTGTTTCGTTTAAAACAAAGATTAAAACTAATTTTACTTGTACAGTATAAGTATTTCATTGTCTAAACAAAGATTAAAACTAATTATTCTCGTACAGTATATATGTTTCATTTTTAAACAAAGATTAAACTAATTCTTCTCATACAGTATTGTTGCGTCAGTGAGGTCACGTGACTAGTGTCACGCCACGTTTTCTAGAAATATCCTGTTCCTTCGTGAATGCCCTAGTATTTACTAGATTGGGGGGTAGTGTGGTATATACGAGATGGTCACAACGTGATGGGACAATGTGTAGTAGTGAGTAATTGACCTGAGTATTGTCGAGCACGAGCACGTGAGAATTATAGCGTTTGTTACAGAGCGACTGTTGAAGTTGAGTGTATCGTAAAGTTGTATTCGGAAAGAATAAACCAGTTTTATTTAAGAAAGGACTTGTGTCGCTAAAGTTTCGTCGGAACGAATTTACGGAAAATCAATTAACGGACGGAGACGTAACAGTATATATGTTTCATTTTTAAACAAAGATTAAACCTAATTTTACTTGTACAGTACAAGTATTTCATTGTTTAAAGTAAAAGTATTTCATTGTTTAAACAAAGATTAAAACTAATTCTTCTCATACAGTATGTATGTTTCATCATTTAAACAATAACCCTTCTCATGCAGTTGAAATGCTTCATTGTTTAAACAAGGACTTAAAACTAACTTCTCATACAGTCAAAGAAACAAATTTTGCTAGAGTTCAATGCAGATCTTTTTTAAATATTTTAAATATTCTTGGAGTACATACAGTAGAGGTTTTTCATATTTAAAACTAAAGTATAAACTAACTTAACTACATTTTTCTTACTTTTAACAGAAGCTGATACTTCATCACTCTCTGGACAGGTTTAATAAGAAGATCGGGCAACTGAAGTTTATGGCCAAGCTTCTGTCGCACATCCTGCAAGAGTTAAAACTATATCCAACATCTATCTATATATGTATATGTTAATATTTTGAAATTACAAATCTTCTTTCATGTATATATCTTTAAAAACATGTATAAAATCAATAAATTAGATTATTAATTTGTAAATATACTTTAAGCTAATTAAATTGAAAGAATAGTGTGCTGTTAAAAAGTAAGTACTCACTTTACAATAAGGATAAACTTTAAAAAATTCTTTGCCTTATGCTAAGTATCAATGTATATATTACAAATGAACTCTTACCTCAAAATAAGTATCAACATACTCTGAAACTATAAACTCTGACTTAGGTTTATTCTGGCAGTAGACAACATACATGTTTAGCCTTCTCTCATAACGGCGAAACAAAGGTCCAAGTTTTCCTGGTTCTAAGGCACATTTTTGTAACTCTCCATGGAAAGTGCTAGAAGGAAAAGTAACCGTAAAATATGAATAGAAAATGTGCAAAAAATAATAAACATGTTCTAGCCATAAGTATATAAACTTTCATAAAAAAAAAAACAAGTGTGTGTGTGTTCCTGTTTTTGTGGTTCACTTCTGTAAGTCCTTATGAAATGTAATGTTATGAAATCACAATAAGACAAACCTATATGTAATAGTTAATACAGCATTTCAGTACGTTATACTAAAACAATTTTGGAGCCTCACCATGTCGATACAGTTCATGGTCCTACTCTACCTAATGACCACATGTATCAACAATATCCTTGCAACATAGTTTCAACTGTTAAAGCTTTTGGCATAAACCTGTAATGTCCAAAACACGTCACTCCTCCCTGCTTGTTTTTAATTGTCCATCTAGTGTAGGAGGAGGATGGTTTTAGCAATTTCACCAGTATACCTTTGTATTCAAATAGCATGAATACCCATTTCATTCTCCAACTGATTGATGTATGAGATGGGTGAACAGTAGGTATGACCAAAAGCCATATCTTAGTAAACCCATACCCTGTTGGCCTTGTTTCCAGATGGAGGTCCTTTTTGATTATGTTACATACTTTTGCCAGGGACACAGTTTTTTCTACTAGCCTGGTGTTCTTTATTCTCACCTATAATAAGACGTGCACTTTGCTTACCACAGCTGGGGTATGACTTATTGCATGCATCTTTCTGGAAGGTCATACACATCCCTTTGGATATCCCTTGCATTTAATGGTAGTAGAAAACACTTGTTAAAAATTACAAATCCCAAATCTGAACTCATCTTATGATCTGAGTGTATGAATATTTTGCATCAGATGGCATCACATTTCCTAAGAAATGCCTAAAAATTCCAAATTGTAGTGCTTATACATTCCATTCTACTGCAACTTTATAGCAGCTATGGTTGTCACATGGCTTGCCAACCTACACATCCAAAATCGTTTTATTATAATGAAGTTAAACCTCTGTAATAATTGATGCCATAATTACCATTAAAAATAACAAATAGTAATACTAAATGCAACAGTTATGATATAATCAGTAGTACAAGTGAAGAAGCATCTAGTAAAAATAGTAGTACAAAGTGGCTGGTATCATAAAAACAATAGTTCACCAAGCATAGTCATCATGTAGCCAGTAATACAAAGAGTATAAACAGAATGATCTCACTTTATAAGGATAAGTAACAAGTCATCACAGAATACTCAACTCTGTAGTAGCACAGTGCCACCACAGACAGTTATTATAGCTATAAGAATATATCGCAGTTTTTGTGAAGAAGAATACTCATATAAAAAGATTATTTATTCACATAGAACCAAAGACTACAACAGTTTGAAGAATGAAGTGTTCAATGTTGTTTTTTTCTGTGGAAGTGAAAAAACTCACACAACAGACTATTTAGGAATATAATTGGTTATAAAACTACAACTCAAGCTATTCTAGAACAGGGTCTTCATCCATAAAGAGAAGGCTATAGTTATGAAATAATATATACTGACCAAAAAAAGGCTATTATGGTAAAGCTAGGCATATCTCCTGGAATTATTAACAAGATAATAAAAAAGGGTTTGAAGTTAATGAATATCATAGTGCAAAAAGGAAGTCCAATAGATAAAATCATACAAACAACACAAGAACCTAAGTTCTATTAAGTATATATTTCTTAAATAGTTTACCAATGGTATAATAATGTTTTTAACTGACTGATAGATTCATAAAACAAAAGCACACATAGCCAGAAATGCTAATTCCACCTACTGTGTATAATTACAATATAAAAATGATTTCACAAGAAAATGGGCTGCAAAAAAAGTAATGCACTCAGTTTACTGTACTAAAACAAATGCATATACAAGTAATGCAACATCAAGCTCATTATTTAATGGACAGTCTTGAAAACCATAGATATTTACTTACTCTCTGTGCCATTCGTAGATAGCTTCAATGTTACCAAACACTATTTTATCTTTCCCATTCTTCAAATCTTCTGGTACACTAATATCCCCAGATTTCATTACTTTCATGTAACCCTGATGAAAAAGTAAAAATAAAAGTGAAACTAAAACTTCAAAAAATTCCTATGAGCAGTAACAGAAAAAAAACAAAACATTAATTTTATAATATTTTAATATTTAATATAGATAACAACAAGGCACACACCTCCACAATACTTCCAAGATCTTTCACATAATCTTCTTCTGTATCTAAAAGCTCCTGAACCACATATCTAAAAAAACAGAAAATTAGTTTTAGCAAAATTTCTTCAACTAAACTCTAGGTGTTCCAGCACTCGTGCTTCAAACATTCTTCCTCTGTAACTATAACTTACTGTATCAATGCCAAGTGAATGTCATAGCTCAAACTTTCTGTCCTTAAAAACCAGTGAAAGGCTTACAACTTCTGATACACCATATTCTAATTAGTTATATCATCTGCTTGAAAAACAGTAACACAGATTCAAAGCTCATCAAATCTGTTTTTTCACTCTTACTGTTACAAGAACATAAGATGGTGTGTCTTGATACTATATTATATTAATAATAAATCAAAAAACATTAATTGTATCTCAGTTATGTTCTTTTTACAACTTAACAAAATTTATTTAAAAATGTTCAACAACATTCTCCTCATGTGAAATAAAAAGAAACAGTTAAGTCTTTATCTTATTACTGAGACATAAGGCATTACTTTAGGCCACTGAATCTTTCAACTAATCCTAACTAATTCGTCTTCTTCCATTTATTTTTCAAAACATTGACTCATACAAGTAATTCACACAGTATTTGTAATTATTCCCCTTATCATCAAAACTTCCAAGTAAAGCAAACTTAACTTCCTGTATTTAGTTTTCTGAATTCTCACTCACCCATATAACACAAATTTAATCTCTCATACTTATTTCTCTAAACACATACTATTCAGAGAAACACAGATTTAACCTCATGTATTTATTTTGTTTAACTTTTTTTCTTCAGAACCACCTAAACATCATACAATTCAAAGAATTAACCTCATGTATTTATTTTGTTTAGCCTTTTTTTTTCTTCACAACCACCTCAGCATTACATCTTAAATTATTTTTTATTTCTAACTAATGACAACAAATCTGTTTAGTCTGGAGTTATTCATAAAATTATATTGTAAGTCATCTTAACTGAACAGTAGTGTACTAAATAAAGAAAACTGCTTTTAAACATACCTTCTCTTCTCTAAAGCCTTTTCTTTATCATCCTCTACAGAAGGGTGTAAAGAATCAATTTCTGTAATACAGAAGTCTTCAGTAGACACAGTGGGTGATATCTCTTCTTGATTAGCCACATCTGGCATGTCCTCAAGCACTACGGTTGTCATAATATCCGATGTTTTGGTTTCCACAACCTCTGAACAATCTGTAGACGTTTCAGGGTAAAGTTCCTGTTGTTACAAAATAACATTTGTAGTATAGTATTTTTCCCAACAATGACAAAAGTAAAGAGTATTTTCTGTAAAATAGTGTTTTGAAACAAATAAGTCATCTTTACAATTATTTAATTCATTGTTTTTAAATACATGTCATTCTCAAATATTTTACTTTTCTTCATCACTAGTATTCCCTCATCCTAATCATTACTTCCTTCATTACTAGTATTCCCTCATCCTAATCATTACTTCCTTCATTACTAGTATTCCCGCATCCTAATCATTACTTTCTTGGTCACTAGTATTCTCGCATCCTAATCGTCACTAGTATTCTCGCATCCTAATCATTACTTCCTTGGTCACTAGAATTCTCTCATCCTAATCATTACTTCCTTGGTCACTAGAATTCTCTCATCCTAATCATTACTTCCTTGGTCACTAGAATTCTCTCATCCTAATCATTACTTCCTTGGTTACTAGAATTATCTCATTCTTCTCTTACTCTCACACTTGCCATTTTTAATTGTGATTATTTACTCTATTCTTTTAACTCTTAATATTCTTTCTGCATATACTTGTTATATTTCTGCTAACTTCTGTTTGTTGAATACCTGTTCCAATTTTATCACTGCTTGGCTACCTATTTATTTTTCATATTTACCATTCTTTGCTTTACTGTGTGTTATATTGCTCTCAAAATTATCATACTTTACTCTACTGTGTATATTTATCCCTTCTTAATGCAGTTAATTGTTCCAATTCTCTCACATTTACCATTTGCTCATTGACTATCTGTTCAACTTCTGATGTCAAGTCAACAGAACTTGTACTTTCTCTTGTTGGATGTTTTGATTGCTGAAACAAAACAAAAAGGAACTTTTAAAAACACAAAATTAGAATACAAAGCTGAAGGAAATAAAACCAAAACACAACTTTTAAAGAAACTGAAATATTCCTGCAAAACCTTCACTGCCATTGCTGATTCAAAAATACCATCTACAATTAACTGACAATTATTTTTTATGAAACTTGTACACATATTTTTAAAGAATTTCTATCACAGTCAGCCATTAGAATGAAGACAACACTACAAATAAAAAAATAAAACACATACATTTCGAATAAGGTACCCATAGCATAGCCTAAGTAAAAACTAAAAATATAAGACTATTAGGCAGAGATGATCAACGTAAATAATTCTGATGTCCTAATATATATATATATATATATATATAAGTAATTTGTTTAATATTTCATTTATATCTTCCTCAGAAAAAGTTCAGTTACATGAGAAAAAGTGCAACCTTAAAGCCTACCATTTCATCTTTATATCTCCAAGATGAAGAAAAACAATAAATATGCTCTATTTATGGCTCACCACCTTGTTTCTATCTCACTCAGATTAAAAAATGCAGGATAAGGGTGAAACTTACTATTTAGTCTAGCTTTTCCTCAAAACAAAGAGGCAGACAAGAGTTAGATTACTATATATACACACACACTTAACTGTACCTCTCTCAGGAAACACGACAAATAAGTGTTAAACTGTGACCTGTTTTAAATGTAGAAGATAGATGAGATTGAAACTAGTAAAAAAGTATGAAAGAGTAATTTACTTAAAACTTTGTTTTCTCTGTAGTTCTTTCTGATGTGAGAAAATGAGGTAAAGAAAAGAAACAATAGTTGTTGTTTTTTTTTATAAGCTCATTGTTTTGTCTATCTCCCTCTCATCAGTAGGAAACTAACAAGACTGACACTATAATTTGCTACAAGCCTACCACTTTGTCAGTATCTCCTGTAGTTGAAATTATTATTGCAATGAGGCCAGCATTTTGCATGTATCATACTTTGAAAAAAAAAGAAACATTAACAGAAGTTTAATTATAAACTGCCTCAAGCTCATAATTTCATCTGTAATTTCCTTTGAAGAAAGGGAAGAATGAACAAGTTGAAAATGTTATTTCTTTAACCTCAACATTATTTCTGCATCTCCCTCTGAAAACAGAGAATAAATTTATTTGAAAAAAACTATAATTTTCTAATTACTTACTATTTTTCCTGTATCTCCCTCTGAGGAGAGAGAGGTATGAATAGGAGTAAAAATGTAATTTTGAAAATTCACGGAGGATGGAATTTCAACATCATAAGCTTCATCTTCAGTTGATCCTCCATTTAAATCAAAAGACTTGGACTTCTTTATCAACTGAGACTTTACTAGATCATTTTCCTAAATAACAAATAAAATAAACAAAAAACATTACTTCTGATGTGATCAATCTGTAACAATCACTTTAAGAAATATTAAACTTACTAGAGGCTTGCAAAACAAAATATGAGATTGTATCTTTCTCTAAGCAGGTTTGAAAGTTTTAAAGAATTATTCTAATCAAATACTGATGCAATTTGTGTCTTGTGAAGTTTTTTATTGACACTTGTATCCTTTGTGTCTTGTGAAGTTTTTATTGACACTTGTATCCTTTGTGTCTTGTGAAGTTTTGTTTCATGTAAATTTAATCTTATGGAATGTTGTATAGAAATGTAAACACAAGTTAATACATGCTTTCTTAAAAGACAGTAAAATTAACAACTTAACTTCTTGACAACGGATACAAGTTTCAATAAAAAACTTCACAAGACACAAAGGATACAAGTTTCAATAAAAACTTCACAAGACACAAAGGATACAAGTTTCAATAAAAAATACTTCACAAGACACAAAGGATACAAGTTTCAATAAAAAACTTCACAAGACACAAAGGATACAAGTTTCAATAAAAAAACTTCACAAGACACAAAGGATACAAGTTTCAATAAAAAAACTTCACAAGACACGAAGGATACAAGTTTCAATAAAAAACTTCACAAGACATGAAGGATACAAGTTTCAATAAAAAACTTCACAAGACACGAAGGATACAAGTTTCAATAAAAAAAATTTACAAGGGCTGAAATTAATCACAATAATTGATGTTTTTTAAGGAAAAATTCCATGTGGTTAAAAGTCTGTATATGTTTATGTAAAAGACTTTGATAAACACAGGCGAAATAAACTGAAGCTAACCTTTGTTCCATCTTCAGATGCTTCTTTTACTGCTGGACTATAAGAACATGACTTGTTTCCCATTTCTTCTTTACAGCCTAACAGCTAGAACAGAATGATAATTCAAACAATTAGTGAAAACTGTTTAGAAAAAGTTTTTAATTTAATTAAAGTTAACCAGTGTAATGAGACTTGTACCTAAATTTTCATTAGAGTATTTTTTATTTTTTTGTTTAACAAAAATAATTGTTAACCCTTTAGAATTCCTTTGAAATCTTTAATTAATTTTAAGATGATCTTTCCTAATATTGAAACAAAAAAAAATAACTATGTAATTAATTACTGAAAGAAGTTTAAGAATGATTTTTAAAAGTTAAATGTTTACAACTAATGAATTACATTTAATAAAGGAAGGATGGTCAGGTAGTGGATAAGGTGTGCCTATTGGTATATCATTATTTTCGCTTGTATAAAATAAGGTTCTACTTAAACTGTGTTGAAAGTGTTGAAGCATGATTCACCTCAAGGTAGCTGTTGTTAATTTACCATATAAAAATTAGAGTAGAATAAGTGTTCAATAAATTATAAACCAATGTATCCAATAAATACTTGCTTATCATAGTCAGACAAGCAGCAATTAGATAGGTAGTGACAAAGAAACAATTTGAATTTAAAACTTTTAATTACTGGAGATATTATTTCTCTGCTTCATTGACTATAAGGGAAAAAAAAAAACTATGTAGGAAGTACTACCAGAGGGCTACATAAATGTATGAAGGAACAAGCTGCATCTATAAGTGAACAGTCTGTACTAAGTAATAATTGAAATGCAGCCTTTGACAGCTACACTGTAGTGTCAACCAAATGAAAAAAAAAACAATAAATTAACACACTATTTTATTTCATTGTTTTCTTATTAAAAACAAATATTTAAGGCAATTAAGCATTAAAATACATACATTCCAGTGATGTGGAGCTGATGATTTCTTAAGTGTGGGCTTTGCTGAATCACTGGCAGACCTTCCCAGCCAACCATGACTTAGTCTTCTAACAGGGTTTGACAAAAATCTCCTTGAAACAGATAGAAAAAAAAAAGCTTAGCTAAGCAACTTCAAATTAACTGATAGAAACCAATTAACTTCCCATTATTTAACATAAAACAGTAATATCCCCAATACACAAAAAACTAAGGGTTCCATTTTACATCAGTTAGAAGTAATCTAAATATACTTGGTACCAAGTAATCGATAAATTGTAACATATACATGTTTATATGATTTTGTCCTCTGCAAAAAGAATTTTTAATTTTTACATAAATCGTGATGATTATTTGACATGACATGATGGTGGCATCCATTCAGAATAAGACAAAACGTTTCAGCTGGTTGTTGGATATTCAGTCTTAAAAACTATCCATAATAAACAAAAACGCCTTATTTAATATAATAATTTGTTATGGTGTGAGCGTTTTTTTACTAGCTAAGCGTGAATATAATCAATAATATTTAACAAAATACAATGGTATTAAGCCTTATTGTATTTTTAAAGATTACATTCTTTAATTGGTCTTTTGGGATTTGTTGGAGTTTTTTTCCGAGAAGAAGAGTGCATAATTGTATTTTTTACCACATTATGTCACTGCGGACGACCTAACAATAGTGTTGTGAGACGCTTCGCAATGACAGAGTGGTTAAAAAACCTTTTAAATAATTATTACGTGAAATTGATATTAGGAAGTTAATGTAGAATATATAATACATTAACTAATCCTGGAAGAGGCAGGATTAACACTGTGGTAAATCATTGTGTGCATTCTTTCCACCAATCTTGTAAAATCCAATGATCACGTATTTCACTTCTTTTTTTTTTTTCACGCCAACACGTGGTTTATCCGTTATAATTATTCTTAAACATAATATCATACCAACCTACTTGAACTAATTTATAAATATATTCGCATTTGTTGGCTCTTAATACTTTGAACTTTCTGCAAGTGATCTATAAAAAATAAACACAGTTAACACTGTGTATCAGTAAGGTGCTGCTTATAAACCTCTGTTTGTATTTGTGTGATCGTTTAGAATCTTATGCTGGTGTATAATTAATACATTGCTTTTTTATATGAGATATTAATATCAATTAAAATATTTGTTTGTTTGATGAATTTTGTGCAAAGCCACTCGAGGGCTATCAGCTCTAGCTATCCTTAATTTAGAAGTGATAGACTAGAAGGAAGGAAGTTAGTAAACACTACCCACCGCCAACTCTTAGACTACTCTACTCGAATAGTGGGATTGGCTATCACATTATAACGTCCCCACGGCTGAAATAGTAGGGAATGTTCGGTGACGGGATTCAAACCCGCGACTCGTAGGTTGTAAGTGGAGCGCCCAACGACCAGGTCATGCTAGGCCCCTAAATTAATAGAAGCTTCTTATGTACCAATGACATATTACCCGTTATTCAATAGATTCATCAGCATCGTATCATTATGGTACGGTCCAGAAAAAAGCAAGTAAGAAATATATGTGAAAACATACATGCAACAGAAGGAATTAGACTGTGATAAATATGTATGAATTGTCAATAAAATAAAAGTATTTGCAGTACGGTGTGTTTGTTTGCTTTAATTAAGCACAAAGCTACACAATGGGCTATCTGTGCTCTGCCCACCACGGGTATCGAAACCGGATTCTAGCGTTGTAAGTCCGCAGACATACCGCTGTGCCACTGGGGGGCAGTACGGTGTGTTTAGACAGTTAGTAAGAAACGTCAGGATTTTAAACTTCCATTTGTCCTCAGTTGTATTTAATAAAAATGATACCAAGTAATATCAATCTAGCTGCGTTTTGTTTCCTCAAAAGTAACTGCTTGTTGTTGTTTTTTTATATCATTAATTGTTTACAGTTTACAAATAATTTCGATACGTATTTAGATGAACTGGTTTCCATAGTAATACTATACCTTTTGTTGAGAGACCAAAACACTTTCAAATGGGCTTTCAATAACATAACTGCAGTTTAGCGACGTTAAAAGATACAAGCACATCAAATTAAAATAAGCTTGGCGACATGAGAAAATACATGCACACTCTTGCATGTCCGAGGAGGGGGTCAAGGGGCACTTGCCCCCCTCCCCCCGGAAAATGAAAACAATTCTTTATTTATTTACTCAGCGTATAGCTGCAAGTCTGCAGTATGGCTTAAACTGACCTTACAAATATTAAACCCATTAAAATATGACTGTGGGAGCTTGCCTATTCTCTTGACCGTATATGTATCTTTTGACTTTGCCCCCCCCTTTCCTGGAAAAATTCTGCCGACGCCCATGTGCACAGTACGAAAAAAGAACCGACATGCAGATTTTAATAATGTATAAAATTAATGCGAAAATCCACTAATCAGGACGGTTAAAAACACACACACAGACGTAAACAATGAGCTCACGTGACGCTAATATCCTGAGAAGTTAAATTTACCGTACCTGCAGTCAGACAATGCTAATAATCAATGTAAAACGTGTGCGTGCACGTCACAAGAGGCAGACACGAACAAATATAAGGAAGACTCAAAAAGCTTGATTAACAGTTACCACGAAATGTGCAAGCGTAAATGACGTAGCTTGTAAATAAAATGCTACTGCGTAACATAACCCCACTCAGGCTCCAACATTGTGTATTCCTTTCGAGTGCCTTCAAGTTGCTTTATATTCGATATCATAAATTTACATGTTAGATATACTGGTCTTCACACAACTCGCAGAACTGAACCAGTCACAAAAATTACTTTATCAACAACTCTGTGAACAATATTCGTTCCTGGCTGAAACCGTAAAGGTTCATCACATCCACGTCTGTATATTATCATTGACTCTAGAACAAGGCTTAAAAATCGTTTGTGCTTATGTAGCTGTATACATGTGTACGTGTAGAAAGTACTTATTACAGTTTTGATTTACATTAGGACTTACCCTAACATGGTATGGACGACTTTGAAATAATTTAAAGATCAAACAATCCGATTTCTTAGTGAGGTGACATATCAACTTACAGTTTCAAGTAATGGCTGGAGACGGCTTAAATGGGTAATGAAGAAAAACTTTAATATAAGTTTAACATGACAGCAAATGTACAACGTTTCGACAAGGTTTTGTCATCATCGGGTACAAGTAATTTACACAGACAATTAGTGAGGTGACATATCAACTTATTGTTTCAAGTGTTCTTTGCTTCACTTAAAGATCGATACGATTCTCTAGTGTTTTCTTATTACTCGTTTAATAATGTCGGTGAAGACAAAATAATAATGATAAAAAGTTTCAGTCTTGTGGTCTACATTGTTTGTAAATAAACATAAGAATAGCCAGTATTTGCATATTTAAACAAGCAACAAAACTGAACAATAAAAAAAAGTGTAAATTCATTCTATAAAGAGATATTTCTTACGAATGGTTCAAGATCTTTCATGAATTAGGAAGATAAATGTCATGCTAGAGAAGGTCTGTAAAGAAAGGAACAACCATTGTTAAGCTAAGTATGTTGTTGCATTTTAACTGAAAATCTGCGTATAACTGTTAAACCTCGTCATAAGACATGGTTAAGCATCCTCCCTTCTCACCCGTATAAGTATGTCAACAAAAGGAATTCATTAAGTGATTCACCATGCCTTTCATGTCGATTTGCAACAGTTTTTAGGTTTCTTGAGGATTAGATTATAAATAAATCTTGTTTGTCCCACGGCAACTGGTGGCCTCTTATGATTAGCTTATAAAGCATGAAGAGTCACACAATCCAAACCAGTCAAGTATGAAAGACGGTTTATTTTGTTGGTAAAAACAGGTTTAAGAACAAAACACTGACTAAGGCCTAGTTTTAACACACGGCTTCTGTAGGTTAGTTAGTTCCATATAACGTAACCAATAAAACAGTTGTACTACGATTTCACATGCACACTTCTTCAATACGATGACGTCTAAAACGTATAAATTACATCACTTTTTAACACATCTTTTACATCAGAGCATGTTAAGAGTTTCTGGTTCAAGTTGTTTACATCTCGTTTTCAATAATCCAATTTTTGTTCTCTTTTTCAGTTACACGTTAAGCATGCAAAATACACATTCTGTTGTTGTGAAGTAGAGGGACATAACATCTCCACTCTCCTGCTAATTCTCAATGGAGATGTTTTCAAAATCACCGACTCACCACAACTCTGGTATAGCTAAAAATTACAATACTGTAAATAAAACTGTATTTACAATTCCTGTTCATACGCTATAGATACAATCAAAATGCACATAACATATTTAATCAGGGAATACACCTTACTTCTTTCCCGGTACCGTTGGATATTCTTACAGAGTA